GTGACAAGGTGGAAGGCCTGTTATTCACTCCGTGCGTTAATTCAGGCTTAAAAGTATCCTGAACATTGGCGCGTAGAAAGGGCATTGCGACCGTTGTATATGTCTGAGTCGGGTTCAATGGCAAACGTTGTTAGACTTTATCACATCAAAATTTCATGCCGAAAAATACGAGGGAGTTTCCTGCTTACTGATAACCAGCATGTTTTATAGAGAAATAGTGGATAAGATGGTTCCTATGAAAATAAGTATTTATATGGCGGAGCAAAAAAATCCCCACACTTTCGTGCAGGGATAGAAATAAAGTGGGGAATATTTTATTGCGCCGGAGCAGGTACTACTTCACCTGTAAGGTAAACGATCTTCTCTTGCGTAATTCCAGCTAGTTTAATGTGCACATCTTTATTGAATACGCCAGGATTGGCTGCGTTATACTGTACTTTCAATTTCGCAGTAGCACCTGGTGCAATGGGCTCAACAATTTTTTCAGGAGTGGTACATCCACAGCTTGCATATGAATTTTCAACAACCAAAGGCTTGTTACTTGTATTCTTCAATTCGAAAGAAAAGGTAACAGGGGTTCCTTGTTTTATTTTACCGAAATCATGTTTTTCAGTATTTACTTTCATCACATCATCGGGTGATTGCTGACCAGCGGGGGATGTCGCTGTAGCCTGATCGATTTTAGTCTTAACAGGGGCGACAGTTGATTTCTGTGCTTCTGTATTCTTGCGGGTTTGTACCTGCTGGGCCATTGACCCAATAGTAATAGCCAGCGCGGCGGTAAAAACTATTGCTTTCTTCATAATTATCTTTTTAAAGGGTTTGTTTTTTCAGGAATTGAACGGATGCATTGGCTGGTGCGGCACCTTCCGGGGCTTTCCACACGATACCTTTGATTTTGATAACCTTGCTTTGATTGGTGTTGTATGTTATCGTGATCATTTTCTCAAAATTTCCTTCAGCAGCGGCGTTATATCCAACCTTGATCGTGGCGGTGGCTCCGGGTGCGATCGGATCACGGCTCCATTCAGGAGTTGTGCAACCACAGCTTGCCTGGACGTTATCCAGCTTTAGCTCGGTA